GACGAGCGCGGTCTAACAACTGTCACAGCTCGTCACCTACATTGCTCTGTTCAAACACAAGGAAAGACGCACGAAATTACCGCAACAGTATACATGAGCCAAATGAGACTGTCTAAATTGTTATTTCTTTATGTGTGAGCAGCGCGCTAATTTCGGAAACGTGACCGCTGCAGCGAACGAAGTGACGCTCGTGCAGCCATCATCCACTGTAACGTAAGGGAAAAATGTTGTGGTGGAAGCACAAGGCGTACAGTGCTCTCCAGGAAGTGCGCGCGCACGAACGATGACATCCTGTGAAGGTGTGCGTGCGTCACAACAACCCCTAGAGCACACCCTCGTGCCGTTAGCGCCATCACGCTAGTAATTACAAAAACGCTCCGAAGTATATAGCCGAGCCAACGGTGTACGGCGTATATAAATAGCTTGCCGTTAGTAAGGTCAGGGACGTACGCTCTGTGGCATAGTGGTATCGTGCTGCAGATCCAGTGGCTGTATAGTTCGATGCTATGGAACTTTTCCTTCAAGTTCTTTGTTTTTTTTTTTTGTGAAGTCTGTAAACTTATAATTCACAACGTCATATCCGTGACGGAAACGTGTTAGTAGAGCCGTGGTTGCTCCCGGTATGAAACGCTTCCGGGTTATAAAATGAACTAAAAGAGTCATGTTCCGCATTATCCAAACTTGCAACGTGTCGTTCAAAGGTCAAGGCCTGACGACTGCTACAGTTCACCTTTGTCCTTCGTGTACCTGTGCGTTCTTTTCGAGCGTCTTTTTGTGCTTCAATGACACGCAGCATGTGCCGAATCGCTTTTCGTTCTCCATGTCACAATCAGATTTCTTGCTATCACATGAATTGCTTCGCCCTTGCGGTGAAACTTTCACACGTTATTGTCAATTCGCATTCATTTTGTAACAGGTGCGATTGGAAATAAATTGTTCAGATGAATGTCATAACCATGCGTGTCTTATTCTAGGTGCTTGTCGTGTGGCGCTGTTCCATATGATTGTTGAATCCCAATCGATTGTCGCGACAACGGGCCCTTGTAGATTACAACAGATGAGGTCATTCAAAGGCCTCATGAGCGTCGAGACATAATTGTGCTAAAAAGAGCTCGTTTCACTTAATCACAGCCGAGCCGTGACCACTTCTCGCTCCCCGTCATTGGTGGGTGCAGCCGGGATTTGCTGTTGGCAGCTAACAATTAATGAGTCTAGTTAAAACAAATTAGACAACGGGTGCCGCGACGGACATCAAGCTCCTTTGATGCATTTCACCAAAGAGTGCCATAGTGGGTTAGGTCTGTGGGGCCTCTGGCAGAAGAGCTAACGGTGATACAGCATTAGCATAAAATACATTATGTCACGGAGCCCGAATTTCGCGTAACTTTCACGATACTTGCAGGCGTGTGTGTGCGTGTACATATCGCTATTTTTTTTCAACCTGAAGCATCCACTTTTTACGGTCTTTCGGCATCTTAGCTCAGGCAAGCGTAGCCTAACAATAATTGCCAGAACTTGCATAACAGCATCGCTTTCTAGCGGGGGCTTTTCTGCGCAAACCATGCTTTTAAGTTCAAGCAGAAAACTTTCAAAAAAGCAACACCGTTTATTTACAATTATAGGCTGTTTTCATGAAAGTAATGATTGCATCCGCAACGTGTCGTTTCAGTCTGCTAACAGTGTAAGCACGCAGATTTATTATGCGCCGCCACAGTGCAAATTATTGTGCCACGACACGCAGTCTTAGTTCTCTAAAGCTTCTTTTGTAATCGGAACAGAATTAAATAATAGCCCGAACATGTTTAAGGATGTGAAGAGATATCATTCGAAGTTCTCGAGAACCACTGTATGCAGGGATTACCGTAGTCAAGTAAACCACGACGCCTATAAACGACAATGTTTAGAAAAAGAAAAAAAAAGTGTAAAGTCAGGGGACACGCACGCGCAAAGCGCCTAATCCAGTAGCTTCATCCTCGGAACGTCGCGTGCCGCACTGGCCAAACTAAACTGTTGCGGGCACCAATTGTCTCAGGCGGCCATAATTAAAGAACAGTCAGACATAAATTTCCCATGGCATGCGCCGAATCGTTGGACAAGTAGACGGGGGCCCGATGCGGAGGAGGTACAGACGGAACCAAAACGTGCTTTCGTGGAACGAATCGGGTAAATAGGGGAACAGGCCACGAAAAGCTGACCGAAGACGGAGTAGGTCGGCCTCGTCCCTCGGGATCCCGGCCGAATTCGGGACATCCCTAATCGGACCGGTGCACGGAGTGGAACCTAACGAAGCGAGTAGTGGGTTCCCCGACGGAAATAAATAATTGTCAGCCGGTGGCTTGTTTGCAAAGCACTGCGGCGCACGCTCGCAGAAGCCATCATTAAAGAGAGTGAGCGAAAGGGCTCCGCCGGTGGCTTGCACGGTGCAGCCTAACAAGATTTGGCTAAGCGCGCCTCCAACGAGGCCAACGACGAGAACGCAAGCTCGACCACCCGCCCCTTGCTTCCTCCTTCTTTTCGGCACATCACGACGATGACGACGCCGATGCGAGGCTGACGCATCACGGGAAGAAACATTGCCACAAGGACGCTTGCACACATCCACTGATACAAACCAACGCACACAGCTGACGCAGTAACATTCACTCGGCTCATCCCTACCACCATTTAACCTGCTGTGGCACGAGTAGTGTATACGAAACGCCATGAGTAGTTGCGCCGTTGCCGGTCGTGGCTCAGAGCCGTGCACGGAAGAGCCGCGTAGACCCGCGCTGCGTTCGCGATAAGAGCGGCGCGTTCGCAGTGTCGCCTTTTGTTGTCTCGCCAACCGTAAACATAATACCGCATTACGTCACGTCCGCTCCGGCAAAAGCGCCGCTCCACGGCGACGTGGTTGGAGGGAGAGATGGTTGGCGCTCGCAATTTATCCGCGCATCATGGCTCGAAGCAACGTCAGACAAAAGTCGTTACGCGAGCGTGTCAAAATGTTTCGTTTTACACGCTTAGTGAACGATGTCAACATGATGCGACGCAACCGTGGTGTTACGGGAGCGCACACGCATATACGCAATAGTATCGCACTGTGTTTTTTTTTAAGGTTGGAGAATGTTTCTGTGGAGATACGGTGGAGATACGTAGAGCTCACACCACGTGTATAGATCTGTTTTAGAGGGAAAAAGTGCCCGAATACTTATCTGCACAACGCTGAATGCACCGCGGTACAGAATAAGGAAATACCCTGCTCTGTTCTGTTATGCCGTGTTGTCTTAAGACACGCTTGATCTAGAAAGGTTCATGCTTATACATTACCCCTGCCCCCCTTCCTAATTTGGTAGGTTAGTCAGCGAGAAAAACAAGAAATAAAGGTTACCCAAAATAAACTATTAGTAGCTAACAAAAAATACTTATATTACACTGAAACAAGTTAAAATGACATCGCTATATAGAGTTTGCTCGCACAGGTGGTCTATATTTTCTGAGCTCTCATGGCGTCTCTCATAATACTTTCGTGGTTTTGGGAATTTAAACCCTACATATCATTATTATTTTCAAAGTTTGCTAGCAAAAGTTCACATTGTACTAGAGCATTCAAATTGCAGACGTTAGTATAGTTGTGTCGCCGTATATGCAATGACACATCATTCCACACATATATAGGAACACATAGCTGTTCATCACAAAAGGGTACCGGTGTGGATTAAGATTACTTCAAGAAGATGTTTACCTTTTTCTGAAGATGCAATTCAGGCCATGGTGCAAGTCGTAATTTCTGTATTATGAGGGAACTCCCCTTCAAGTTTGCCGATTTATTTTTTCATTTTTCACCTAATTTCGCGTACTTTACGCAGGGGGCGGAAACTCCCTATACCTCTCACGTATTCGCTCTCGGCAGCGCCGCTTTTACCACTGGCGGTTGCCGGACACCTTACTAGAAACAAATCATGAACGAAAAATTTCTTTCATGATGTCACTGGTGATGTCCCGATATAGAGAGAAAACGAGAGGAAAATTATCGAGAGGAGGAGGGTAGCCCTCCTCTCCTACTTCGCATGCAAGCGGAATGCGCTCGTGCCTTATTTCAGGTCCGCTTGTCGCTTGGGCAATACGGCCATTCGTAAAATTTGGTTGTTAATCACTTTCGTTGATTTTTTTCGTGTCTTCTGAAGAGGCGAAAGTTAAGCTGACTTATTTCTCAGTGGGATGAAACTCGACCGGCGCAAATAAAGTGAACTTTTTTATTGCACGCGCTGTCTGAACCCTGGAGTTCAGATAATTTCTTATCAATATGACGTGTCAGGCAGTATATGGTATTACGAAAAATGTTCGCATAACGGAAGTGAACTCTACATGAGTTTCGTCAAATTGAAATGCGTTATCAATGGGTTCAATAACGTTTTGGTTGGGATACAAAAAAGTTCGTACAGTGGAATGGTTCGTTTAACTTTAGTTTGTATAGTTTTACTGTAGCTAGCTTTCTAACATTTCGACAATTATAAATTGTATTTTGTTTCTTTTCATTGATTATTTCAACTCGTGGAGTATTGGCATTGCAGTCTTCATTGAGACTTTTTAAACATTATTACCCCGTATCTATTGATGGTCTATCTGCGATCCACTTTTCCCCTCCCCTCTTGTATATAAGCCTGTATCTTGAGAATGTAATAAATAACAAGTAAGTATAAATAAAAACTGAAATCATTCTTCGGAAGCAAACGATGACGGAGGTGGCAAGGAAAAACACATCAACCTCTGCTATTAAAAAATTGAAAGGGGAAGGATGGGGTCAGTCGTTCACTGCACCTCGATCATGAAATGCGATGAATAGTTACATATAACGACATCTACCGCAACGTAGACGTGGCAACTGGGCAAACGATCGTAGTTTACAAAATCTGTTTCTTGAGTTCTGAACAATGCTTCTGTTCGGTAAACTAATATTTTTGTGTTTTGTATAGCTGATTGTTTATAAGCGTACACAACTCATAATTGAAGTTCATTCGCAGGAATTCCTGGAATACCTGGACCACGGGGTCCACCAGGGCTGCCCGGACCTCCAGGTGAGAACCACGGGAATGTGTGGGCAGTCGGCCACGAAATATATGAAGACAGTAAATATTTCCACGACGAAATTACGCCCGCCAAAGGGAATTGCACGCAGCATGCGCCAGTGGATGGAAGCGAGAAGTGGACAGGCCTTGGTTGTGTATGATTGAAAATAACTATACTTCGGTAAATTCCAGATGCAAATGACAGCAAGATGATAATTTCTGGAGTATTGCATGTCATATCCACTGTGCGATAGTGAGGCATGTCGTAATAGAGGGCTCTAAGAACTTCGATGAGCTGGGGTTCTTTGACGTGCACTTAAATCACACATTGCGCGGCCCTCTCGCATTTCGCCTCCATCGAAATCCCACCGCCGAGGCAGCGATCGAAGCCGCGTCTTGCTGGTCAACAGCCGAGCACAGTGAACAACACTGCATCACAGTGACGGACCTGATGCACTTCAGGAACACGAGTGACACTTACAGTAATATATGTATATATATAAAACGTGCTTTCAGCGACGCCCCTGTTCAAGATGGATGTGAAAAACTCGTTGTGTGCAGAAAACCACCAGCGGGTACGCACAAGCGACAAGAATTACGCGAATCCCGCAAACGAGTACAGCATGTGCGAGCGTTAAAGGAATGTTCTTCTCGGTGATAACAATACTCGTGAAAGAGTGAGGAAAATAAAATATTGAAATGTAAAGGAAGTGAAGGGAGAGATAAAATAAAGGGATGAAAGAAAGAAAAAAATAGAGAGAACTGAAGGAAATAAAGACATGAAAAGAGAGAGAGACAGAGACACAGAAATAAATAGAAAGAGATACCAATAAGAGACAGGAAAAGGGAGAGAAATTTCAAAAGAGAAAAAAAACAAAGAAATCAAGAAAATTGAAGCGCGAGAGAGAAAACCAAGAACAAAAATTAAAATAAAAGGAGCCAGAAAACGAAAAAAATGAACAAACAGAGAAAAAATACAAAGCGCTAGGCTCAATAACAGGTACAAAAAGCAGAGACAAAGGGAAAAGTAGATCCACTCTTCCGTCACCGTGCACTTGTGTGAAGCTTCGATAACTTTATCTTGTAACTACTGAAGTTGACAGATAATATAAGGCATGTGAGTTTATTGGTTTGTTTAGAATTATTGTCTGTAGTGGGTTACAACATGTGTGTTGTTTTCTCCCTCAACCCGAAACTGCAATTAAATATCTGGAAGAGTTCCGTTCGCTTAGAAAATCATAAAATTGTTGAAGGAGGCGCAGTGTTTGACTGGGGAAGTTTATTTAGCAAAGACCTTCAAGACACCACATCTGCGAGAGAGAGTGGTCCCTTTCTGGCAGCGCAGTGATTGGACTAATTAGAAAGCATTTGGGCATTCAAGAGCCCGCCATTAAATGCTGCATATAACATATTTCCGTCGTAAAATTATACTTGCGTAAAATAACCTTTGTTTTTAAAAATAGGCTAAGTTCTTGGGATTCCTCTCAAAGGAACTGCTGTTCTCACGCAGCTACTGATGCTTAACTACTCATATTTCTGCTGGAGAAAAACATCCTGCGATCACATGAATGCTACACTAATTTAGATTAGGTTGCTGAATTTTTTTAAGTACATTCAATTATATTTTTATCAAGCTCTCCAAAACGTGCTAAAAACGTTCTGTCATCACTAAGATTAGCCTTAATGATGACATGAATTTACTTTGCGGAGTTTTTTGAAAACCTTAGGTGGCATAGTTCCTGGAAACGCAAAGAGGGCACACGCCAGAACCCTGGGTGAGGTACTCAGTAGATAACTAAATTAAAAATTAGTGTGGTGATTGAAAACTCAGATGCTGCGACTCGTCACGCTGGCTTTTTCTTTGTTGTTGTTTTTTTCAGGCGTGCCAGGAACGCGTGGCAAGAAAGGAGCCCCTGGCCATCCGGGAGCAGCCGGTGAGTGAAGTGCAACGATAATAGTAACTGTCCGGGCATCACATCCGGAAACCGAAATATGGTTATGAAGGACGTCGGGACGGATGCCTCCGGGAATTCCGACCATCATGAGTTCTCTATCCTGAACCTAAATCTAAGCACGCAGGCATCCAGTATTTTTCTTAATGACAATGTTGCCGCCACGGCCGGGATACGATTCCGCGACTTTCAGGTCTCGAGTAGCATAACCCCCCGTCCACCGTGCTTTTCTTCATTTATTTACCGCCTCTCTTATAGAATATGCAAAGCAATCCTGTCACGTACACACTACAAATACATACTCCGAAAATTACAGGAAGATGTCATTAGTCCTGTCTGGACTGGTGCTACTGATTAACCGCGGTGGGCCTGAATACAACAACGTCAATTACACATGTGCCGATGTGCATGTTCATGCACGTTAGCAGAGATATAGTTTCTTTGCCCATGAAATGGGATCTGTAACAAAACATCCTATCTTTATTCATTTTCATATTATCACACATGACTTTGTCGTATCATTCTTTCTACATGTGTTTCGGCGTTGACTGGTATAAGTGGCACGAACTGCTCTATAATACGTACGCCGAGTACATTGATTTCTATTCTGTTAACGCTTCTTATCGAGAAGACAACAATGCGTAAATGCTGTCATTCGGCTTTCCATCCTTGATTTCATAAGATGTTGTATATTGCAAAAGTATTTTACCGAAATAACAAAGTAGCAAACGATTGAAATATCATCTGGAAGTTATTTAACAAGCACAGGCACTTCGAACCGTTTAAAAACTATAACTGAGTTTAGAAACATCACACGTAATATCGCTTCGGGAAAAAACCTCTTAAAATAGATAGAAGGTATGAGAAGGTGTTAACCTCTGGGAAACAGTATTTTCGTGTTTGCCTTCAAATTTACAATCATTATTATCACAAGAATACATTATTCACGCAACAAAGCTGCACTCCTCCCTCACTGCACACCACTATAATGCATTCGGTGCGAAAAGCGCCATGCCTTCCTGTCTGAGTGGCTTAGAAATAATACTTACCATTATATTATAAAGTACCGGTATATTATAAAATGAAAAACAAGGCCTGCACTGCGACCTCACTGGTGACCACTACCCGTAATGAACTCCCCCATCAGAGCAATACTGGTCACCCTAGTGCCGTGAGTGCGTGTTCCCTCTAACAGTGGACCAACGTGTAGAATCAAACTGAAGGTATTCCTGCAAAATTGCTACACGTGTTGTTGGCGTCTGACCTGTGCCCCATATCGATGAGCGGAACGCTGTGTCTGGCAAAAAGCTAAAGCGGTCGCTTGGCTTACCCGAGTGCTCCGCTTTCGATTGCGGGTGGGAGCGCAGTCACGTGTAATTTTTCATACTTCGGGGGCTTTCTTTATTGATAGGAACAAATTAGCACGCAATTAGAATGTTGTTGTAAGGAGCAAAGACAGATGACGTTTCAAAATCCGCACATCTGCCTCATTGACATTTTGACAATTTGGTGAGTATTGCCTAAGTTACAAATAATTAGGACTGCTTAATTAGTTGTCTATAATGAAAACAGTACACTGGCAAAAATGTACACCTTGTTTTGTCCAAGCAACACCGTTGTTTATTTTTTTCTTAAATTGGGCTGCGTGACAACTGGGACACCGTGCAGCTGCATCATATACCGCTTACCGATGAAGCAGAATTTCGGAGGCTTACAAAGAGCGTTCAGCTTAAATTGAGGATGGCGCAGCGAGAGATTGAAAGAAAAATGATAGGTGTAACCCTCAGATGCAGAAAAAAATCAGGAGGAGGAAGCAACAAAAAGAGAGAAGGCATGGAGGTTAACCAGAGTGGACTAAAGAACAAACAGGGATTAAGGATATCATAGTTGAAATCAAGAAGAAGAAATGGTCATGGGCCGGGCTCGTAGAGCGTAGGCAGGATACCCGCTGGTCATTGAGGGTCACTTGCTTGATTCCAAGAGAATACAAGTGCTTGAGAGGGATACAGAAAGTTAAGTGTGCAGATGAAATTAAGAGCTTTGCATGTATAGCATGGCAGCGGAAAGCACAAGACTGGGCTGATTGGCGGAACATGGGAGATGCCTTTGCCCTGCTGTGGGCGTAGTTAGGCTGAAGATGATGACGATGAACTGGTGAGACAAAATTCCTCCACTCCTTTACGTAGAGGCCTATTTGCAGTAAAACCATTGGGTTGTTCATTACATTTGCTGATGCCTGGACCTGTCTGAATAATTTGTAGTTGTTAACATATTAAAGCAAGAACGTCGGCGCACATTCTCCTGTATTTTTACGCAGCGTACTTCGCTACTTACGATCAGCGTTACCGTTAAGAGAGATGCTGTTCGTCGTAAAAGAACAACAGAAAGGTTAGAGACCATCTCTCAGCTGTTTTTCATACAAAAATTTTATTCACAAAGCCGAAACTGTAGAATGCGTGAACCTTCTCATTTCATTAGACTTGTTTCTCAAACTGGTAACTTCTAACAATATGGTTGACGCTTTTTTTAGTGGAAGGCGAGGGGGAGCAATGATTTGGGTGGAAGAAAAATGAAAATTGGCATATTTGTAGATTTTTTTATTGCGTGTAAATTTTCTAACGTGTTTCTTGTTTCTTGCTGTGTTAAAAAGAAACGTTCATGTAGTTCGGAGAGTTTCCGCCACTTATACGACTTCAGTAGAAATTTCATGAGGGCACCCAAGTTAATGAGAACATCTTAATTTGTATGCGCACATGCATTATGTTTCTCTATTTCCCTTACAACAAGAAAACGCAGCTTTAGCTAGACAAGGATCGCCTTTTATTTCATGCTGAAAAGTAATGAACTTTTACGAATGGCTTACGTGCTTGTAGAGAAAAGGGGTGGTGGCAAAACTTTATTACCCAAAAAGCTCTATCGCGTTTCCGGGGGAAAGTGCTTGGACGCATGTGTGACGTAAGCAGCGCTACCCACCATGTGTCGTCGCATCACGACTACTCCCTGAACTAAGATGACCGACGGCTCCCGTTGATAAGCGCGCGTTTGCACTGGCATTGAAAGATATAAAGGGGGCGTTTATACGGGCCATGCAAACCATGAGGAAGTTGAACCGTCCCGCGACGCCGAACTCTTCACGCGCTTGTGAGCCCGTCACGTGATCTTTGTTTCATATTTCACACATTTCTCTTTTTCCTGCCAAACTGCTTGAAGGCTTTTGTGAGATGAGTGACATCGTGTGCGTGTGTGGCCAGGGCGGGGCTGAATTATCTTCTATCCCATCATCTCTATTTTTCTACCCTCCAACATTCCTTTCCCTCCTACTCCCCATTCTCGTAGTGCTGTTGAGATCATCTTCACTGAGAGGTGGTACTGCTATTTTTTTCTTCGTTTTTTTTTCTATCTTTCAAAACCGCTACGTAGAAACTCTTGGGCTCGGGCTCGGTGAGCTCCTCCCAATGGCGCAGGTGCACTTCGGTGCAACGTATACAACGGCGTAACTGATGGAGCAGCGAATGAAAACGTTTAGCGTGTCTCGTAGCGAACGGTTTTTCACTCCGCCTAGCGATGTACAGCTTTCAGATTTAAAAAGTCCATGGACAATGGGTAACTCAAATTACAGCGCTGCCACGTGCACTCTGCATTCGCCGTGCAATAAAAAAAATCGGGCTCCTTCAGCAAAAAAATGCACTACCTCGCGTGTTGGCTGCCGCAGCACGGTCAAAGACGGAAAGCTCGAATCGCCGTGGCTTGTCCTTTATGAGAGCCGAAAGATATATTAAGGTCACTACATTTATTCACCGATGACCATTGTTCTCTTCCAAACAGCGCCTTTGCGATTTCTGGGGCACTCAGAGAGTTCCTATTTCTCCAGCTCGATACGGGACCACTTTTGCGAACCTAGAATGCGAAGCGCGCGCAGTTTTCCCTTTCGGTAGTTGGTTCCGCCACGGCTGATGTCCTGCCGTGGTTCTGCAAATGAGCGGTAACACGAACTGCGCAGGGAGCTCATTCTCCCTCCCTCGAAACTCTGCTGCGCTAGAAGGGATCGCAGAGCAGACAAAGGCACTCCAACTACGGAAATAGAGAGAGCAAACTACAAGAGTATACTCGGTTCGAATAGTGCGTCGCTATAGAAGATGCGCGCGGCGTTCGGCGGGCTATAAGCCGACCGCGAGAGAGTTGGCCCGAGTGTCGCTGTGCCTGCGAAGCAGCTATACGGATCGAGCAAGCGCACCACAGACAGGTGATGAAATCCCACCTTTGCTGATCCCGTCTGTAACAACAATAAGTTGGAGTGGATTAGCGATGCGCGCTCACGCCACCAGCGTTATGTAGCTGCGCTCGCTGAACAAGCGGCGTTACCCTGGCGGTTTCAGCCAAAGAATTCCTCACGCGACTCCCAACCGAGGTGTTCTTTTTCTTCCTTTTTTTTTTACTGAAATATACAGGCGGCTTCTGCGTAGTGAAACACCAATTTTTTCGCCGGGCTTTACCGCAAAGCCCGTTCTTCTGAGGACCTCCTATCTCTTTCTCTCACCCAACTGCTAGAGGCTTTTCGGCACCTGCGTGTTTTGTGTATTCGCAATATTTCTTCCCCGGAGCAGCGCTGTACGTCTGTCCTTTGTATACAGCTGGAAGTAGCCATTGTTGTCTAGCTCCGAGAGCCTGTTCTCGGCCGCTTTGATGTCGGGACTCCTTTAAGGAAAATCCTCGGCTTGCTTCTAGTTTCTTCTGTTTTCTTTATCTCAGCCCTTCGCGGGCCTCCTTCCAAATTCGAATGCCAGTACAAATGGATGTCGTCGGTAGCGAAGACCCCCCCCCCCCCATAGAGTTTGTGTTATTTTTACTGAGACACCTGAACTACGCCAAGACGAATTGGTGATATGAATAAGTACTTACTTCTTTTTTGAGCGTTGGCGTTTGTAGCGTCATCATGCGGGGCAGTGGAAAAGGCCCAGTGCAAATATTTATGGAACTTTACTGGCTCGGTCATGTATGCATTATTATTATTATTATTATTATTATTATTATTATTATTATTATTATTATTATTATTATTATTATTATTATTATTATTATTATTATTATTAGCACATCGCCCGTCTTGCCTCCTTCACGATTTGACTCTTTTTATTCACGCTTTCTCTAACCTTTGTTTGTTTTACATTACGCGCGTTTTTCCTCATGTGTACTGTCAAATAAACGTCTTTCCCTTGTCGCAGGCATCAGGCAAGCCACGTCGCTGTCCCGCTCTTCACTGGCGCTTTTCCTTACTACAGCCCCTTCATGAATAAATGACAGCTGCTTGATGTTTGGGGGCGTCCGAGCTGCCAGTCGAAATACGCTACTGTGGGCCTTATATCTCATTTTGATGTTTGTAGGCAGAACTGCCCCCGTCGAGGTGGAACGCGAGATAACCGAAAACAAAGAATGACTCGAAAAATGACTCAAAAATAGAAAAAACCTCAACAGAAGAACTTGTTTTAAGCTTCAGTGCCTCAGGCCTAGAATACATGCGACAAGGATATCTTGGGTGACATGAGTAATTTTATTATAACTATTAAACGACTACCATTTTAATCTTGTATATACAAATATTCATCATAAATTACGGTAAACTAACTCATTCCTCAAAATTGTTCACATCAGGTTATTACGGCAGTCTGGAATACAAGCTCAGTACCACCATACTTGTAGTCTGAATTGATTGCGTTACGTATAATTGCCATTTCATTTTGTTATTTTTAAAATTGTCTTTTGAATACCACTTTACACTTTCAACTTTGAGTTCTTGGCCAATGCCCCTGTGTAGATACGTGCCATAGATTGAAGGACAAACGAGAAACGAGAAAAAAGGAAGGGCAGGGAGGTTAACCAGATGCTAGTATCCGGTATGCTACCCTATATTGGGGTTGGGGAATAGGGGGTGAAGAGAGAACAAACAATAATGACTCCGTGGTTCTGTGCGTTCTTAGTTGCTCAACATATAAGTCAGATAACCATGCACGGAGCCGTTTATTACACGGTCCCTCGCATAATCCTGGCGTCGCGTAGGCCGCCTGCATGAATCATTAGTCACAATCACATCCTTTGCATTACGCAAGAATAAGTTAGCAAACAATTACGGTGTGTTTTCTGCCTGCGTCATTTCTTCCTTTTGTTTTGCGCACTACACCTCAATTACTCGGATTACCACTTTCACGGCGAAAAAATAAGGTTTTAGGCGCAATTACTTTGATGATTCTTTGGTACTGAATAAGGCCGGCCACGGTCGTCTAGTGGATGTTACGGCGCTCCATTGCTGACCCCGAGGTCGGGGGGTCGAATCGCAGCTGCGGCGGCGGCATTTCGATGGAGGTGAAATACTAGACGCCCGCGTACTTATGTTTATCTGCATGTTAATGATCACAAGATGGTCGAACTCACTGGAGCTCTTTACTACAGCACCCTTCCTAAATCGTATCGTGCTTTTGGAACGTACAACCCTTAAAGTAAATATATTACTTTTTTAAAAGCAAGGAAGTTTTCAAATAGTTTATAATACTTATCGCTAAATGTCAACCAAGTGCACTTGATTTGCTTTCACGTGAATTGTAAGTGGAGGAAGACAAAGTAATTCGAAATTGTATGCCACATTCATTGCACTTTCTTTTTGTTTCGTCATTTCTACGTAGCCGAAGAATGTATTTACCTAAACAAAAGCCAGCACGAATGTTCTCTCGACTGTTTACAGTATTCAGCACAATCTTGTAGGCTAAAAACTAAAGAAAAATTTTATATTTACTACTCCGCAGGTCTACCTGGAATAGCGACATGGAAACTGAGCAATCACAATGTCACGGACGCTTCGAAACTACTGAGTAAGTCTGGATCGTTTCGTGGTCTAAGGGAGAGAAAAGAGATGCGTGCACTGACGCATCACTGCGGTATTCCCAACTCCCTTGTAATTGCAATAACGAACAGCTGGTTTGAGGCAAGAAAGTCTGTGCACTCCCCATCACATCCGTTCAGGAAAAAAAAAGAAGGAAAGAAAGCCAGTACCATTAGTCACGCGCTACCCTCTGCTCGGCATAAAAATGCATTACAAGAATTACTTTGTTGGTTCTGCCTGATATAAGTTCAGTCTGCTAATAACCGTGTTTTAGCGCACCATTAATTCGGCCTATTAAGTGATACTGAGACCCATCTCAATGAAGGCTTGTTTGGCGACCCATTTTAAGCTTGAAGAAGCCGCTGGTATACTCCGCATCAGCTGCCTTTGAACTTTCGCGTTTTAAGAATGGCTGTATGGAGGGTGTCTAAGGGCCACATATGAGCCCAATTACTGGGTGATAATGGTCATCAATACTTATGTACACCTCGAAGATGCCCCGATACAAAAATTTTCAATTCTTTATTTTTTGTGTGTGTGTGTTGAACGAAAGGCTGAACCTTCAGTAGCGTAGAAAATGTACTGGTTAGCAAAAGTTCAGCCTAATAAATAGCATGCTATTTTCATATCTAGTTTTTGTTCCTACTGCACTCTGGTATCGCAGCAAGACATGAGCTCCTCTTCAACTGCATGCTCGTGCAAGATATCGTGACGTTTCCACGGCTGCTCCGCTCTGTGGCTCCGTTGGTGACGCACAAGCGTCCATTTTAAATGCTTGTCACCAGACAATAGCAACAAGCAATACTGTTGCGGGAAGTCACCAGAATTGACACTGTAGCCCGACGTCATCAAGGGTATGTGTGATTACAGGTGTGCCATGCGAAAACAGGCATTATTATCAAAGTAAAGTTTCTTATCAGTGTGTACTGAGCTTCAAACACGCGCAAAGGCACCTGTGTATACGGGATATTTCTGCGGCAGGGCAGACTAACATTAGCGGCACACCCAGGTGAAGGAATAAACTAGTTTCGATTGACAAAATGCGCTTTGAGAATTCCAATAACGATGATTTCACCATCGTAGCTGCATTAATAAAGAATAAAATCGATAGTTAAAAGCTTGATTTTTAAATTTATTGTTTGAAATTCTCCAAGCGTAGCAGCGTGCGTGGATTTCAATGTATTTTCGTATTTTGGTGACAATGATTGAGTAAAACTTTTAGAAATTCGGTCTTCGCAGTCTTCGTACTGTAGTTTTTAGGGCGTGGGGATAGATGGAGGCGAAAACGCTTTAGGCCTGTGTGCTCAGATTTGGGTGCACGTTAAAGAAACCCAGTAGGTAGAAATTTCTGGAGCCATCCACTATACGAGAGACGCGTATAGTGGAGTTATAGTTATTTATGACAATGTTTTCTTGCGTCTCTCGTATACATATGGTGGTTTTGGGACGTTAAACCTTGCATATCAATGGGCGTGTTCATACGTCATACAGGTACGTCAGATCACAGGTGCTGTCCCGTCTTTCTCTGTTCGTTTTTTTTTTCTAGTGTGCAAAACAAACTACACTGAGTCTTCGGTCTTCTCAGAAGGCTTTCTATTTCAATTTTACCGATAACGAGCTATGTAGGTCTTAGTGTATCCTGTCAAGGTTGATGAAATCGAGGTGATTGGTGCGGCAATTTCAATGCGGCGTCACCGCTGACATTTTCTGTTTGCGCGTTTTCCCGCTTACCAGATATCTTCTCACTGCAAGTTTGGTTATTTAAAGTTCGTAAAAGATTACCTACTAACGCGAAAAAATCGTTCTCTTCAGTGTCTTCAGTGCGGTCTCGAGTTTGAGTGTTACGTCAGAGGTCAGGCTCGACAGCTTGCTCGCGCTTTTTCGCAGTTCCTCCATCCATCGTGGACGTGTCCGAGCAACAGCAAGTGCTCCTCATGGAGGGCGAGCGTCTCAGCCTCCGCTGTCCGGCCACTGGTCAGCCGCCACCCACGGTCACCTGGCGTAGGGACGACTCGGCGGCCATACCCTTCGGTGCCTGGTACCGTACGTACACTCCGTTCATTCACTAACATAGGCAAAAAAAAACAAAGCAGCATAGAACGTGTGATTGGAAGTGCGACATCTTCTGGTCTTAGGTGGTGTTTTACGAAGTTTATACCAGGCCCGTAGCCAGCAATTTTTTTGACGGAAGGGTGAAAGAGCAGTTGCTGATGCCCTTGAATATTTAGGAAAAACAGATATTTTGATTATTGTCGGTAATGCAACCCTCCTCCACCGCCTCATCAAAACTTTGGGGTGGTGAGAAACTCTACGTGCCTCCGGCTTCCTGCCGATGGGCCTGGTTCAGAGCCATAACTAGCACAAACGTAGCAGACTATCACTACATCAGACGTGTTTGGTATGTCATTGAAAAGATTACGCAATGACACCCGTGTTTGAGGAAAGACGTTTTATTTTATTGTTCTCCCCTTCTCTTTTTCCGCCATGTCTTGTCTTATATTATTTCACAGTTCTTGCTTATAAATCCAAGCTGGCAAACAAATAACCTGTTATTTTAGGTCGGCACTCTGTCTTGTGTCTTATTTGTGTCTTGTTAAGTTCTGCTATGTCTATGAGCTTTGTAAGCGGACGGTTCCACGCTCGATCATTTTTCCCCGGCGAGAAATGTTCTGAGATCCCAACAAGCGTCGCGTGTGCATGCCGTAGTTTTCTGCTGCCGCCACTGCTGGTGTCCGTAACCACTTTAAAGCGAAATAACAAAAACTAAAATAGAAAACACGACACACAGAGATTCGAACCCGTGTCCCATGCGGGCCAGCAGAGTACTCAACCGAAGCGCCAAGCCTATGCTTCAAACTCCGTTGCAAACTGATCTCAGACAGGCTGGATGTCGAGAAAGGAATCGCGTCAGTATCAGTATAATAAAGCGTTTTATAACAACAAAAAAGCAACCAGGCGTCACCCAATACAAATTCCTTAACGCATGGGTTGCCGAATACTCCAACCCATTGCTGAAGCTTGTTCTTGTTCACCTCCTATTAACTGTGGTGCACAACCACTGAGGAGGGAGGGTGGGGGTGATTGCGAAGAATTGGGTAATTTTATAACATAGTATGATGTGTGTAGGGGGTACCACGCTTCTCTGTAGAATGACAAAGGATGGCGTAGTGAATGCCAGCCTTCTACACAATCATTATGATAATTTATGGCGCATTAGATAACTTGCAAGGGTGCTTGTAGCAGTTTCTCAAATAGTGGTTAAGAAAGGCTCTCGACGACTGCTCTTCCAGCTTTTGCTGTCACTTGGCTGGTTCACTGTGACAGGCCTGGCGTTTTTTTTTTTTCGCACTTTCTCACACTGTTTCGCCGATATTGCAGTCGTACAAACTAGGACAGGTTGCCGTGCCAATCAAAAGAAAAATTTTTTCGAAACATGCCTCTTCGTCTGTTTCTGAATTCCGGTACCAATACAACCTCATATTTGGCAAAAGAAGCGTACAACCAGAGTATTTCAAGGTCCACTTGTAGAAACACATGAGAACGCTCGCTAATGGCTATCATCTGTGTCTGCTATACTTCATGTTTAAACATAGCAATTTATTTATGACAATGTTTTTTTGCTAATTTTTTTC